TTGGTTAAAGTCTGGACGGTATTTTAATAGAGAATTAACAAAACAATAAACACGTGGTCCTTTGTTTGAGTCACTGTGTGTAGGTGTTGGCGAAAAATTTAAAAAGGTAACAAAATTCGAAAATGCCATGCAACACTTTTTTTGGTTTGCACTGTGGTTGTACGCTCTAATGTATGTACAATCAACAAAACGTTTGGCGCTCCAATTTTTACATTCGAAGTACATATGTATGTATGTATTTGGGTTACTCGTACGCCCCACAGTCCCACAATCAGCGTGCTTATCAAACACCTTTCCAGTTTATGCAGCTCGTGCATTTGATGATGTTAATATATGTGTGTGTGTGTGCGTGTGCGTGTGCGTGTGCCTGCGTAGGCGTAAAAGTGTTCGCATTTGCCCACAACTGCATTTTACAGATACCGAAATGCGTGGCAGAATTGTGTCAGCAGCGATTTTTTTTTTACTCAATTCCTTTTTTTTCCTTTTCTGCACTCTCTGCTTGGCTTCGTTTTGCTTGTGCAATAATAAATGTAGGTGGCATTGAATGTAGCAAACGAAAATGAAGTGCTGTTATGTGCTGCAATCTCCAACATACATACATACATATATGTACCTATGTCGAAGCAGGAGGTATTCGTATTATCCCCGAACAAGTTGAGTTGGCTTTTACATATACATATGTATGGCGGCAGAAAGTATGGGCCCATTGCCAGCTTTTCACGGTCTTCATCAACTGCATTCTGTTTGAGCTAAACGTAAACATATTTCATTACAAAGTTGCAAGTGCAAAATTTTTTTTTTTTAGTAAAATAAATAGTTTTCAAAATTCGAAATTAGTTGGAATATGTGCTCATCTACTCAAGGATATGAGCTGTTTGTGGATAACTACGTTTTGACCGCTTACTATTTGCACAATTGGAATGCTTTGATCTTGAAAGGTAATTCATAAAAAAAATTCGTACGGTGCATGTATGTGTCGATAAATTTTAGTTGGATGCGCGAACTTCTCTTGCAATATGGTTGTATTCATTGACTGAATTTTACACATTTTGACTGCGTGAAATAAAAAAGTGGTTAATGCAAATGTCAGTGGAAATATACTTTCGCTTTCGCTTACTTGCGAAATGCATCTGTTTAATCGAATAAGCCACTTACATATGTTTGTATGTAAATAGTTTTGTCATCCGGTCCTACACGTATCCTTGGTTGGCTTACAACACCAAAAAATAAAAAGAATCACAGAAGTCGACGAGCGCAGCAGCATATTTCATAATCCGCAAGGGTTTTTCTTAAATATCTAACTGCCGATTTGACCCGCAATTTAAGTGAAAAATGCGCTGCGGTTTCTGCGTCAATTTGGAAAAAGGGCAACTTGACTTCTTTACAAGAAAATAGGCTTGGGTAGTTCTTGAACTAAATAACTAGTTCATCCCGATGAACTAGTTCACTACTTCGGTATTTTCATTGAACTAAATTTGTCAGTGCTACTATTTATCATTTTGCATCGCAATCCAAATATTCTTGGCATGAACTATGACGTGTTCCTAAACATACTGCAGGGACGCTAATATTACAAAAAAAAACGTTCAGACACTTAAACTTAATTTTGGGTTTTGGAGGTTACGGATCTGTATGCCGTTTCATTTTTCCAAAATATTTTCTTTATAAGTTTGCATTGCGAATAAAAAAAAAAATTCAAACTTTAACATCGAAAAAGTTACTCATACGCCTTGCACCAGTAGGTCCTGGTACTGCCATGTACGATGTGGCGTATGAGTAACATTATTTCCTGGTCCTTTTTCACAAATATCTCACATTTTCATTTTAACCATTCAAACTTGCTTATTTATCCATCGATTTTCATCTCTAGTAAATAGATTTTTTTGCAAAATTTTGGCAATGACGAATTAAAAAATTAGGAATATTCAGGAGAGACGAAAAATCGATGTAGTTTCGCATTATCTGCCATTCTGCATCAAAAAGTAAATTTTGAAAAAAGTGGACTTGGCACTTTTTCACTTTTAGATAGCGATAACATGTTTTTTATTGAAAAGTCACTGACTGAAAGCATACAAGCTCGTGAATGTTAACGAACATGGAAAAATTGAATTTCGTATGCTGATTTCAATTTGGGCTCCGAAATCCTACCCCATTCACCGATTTAGTCAGCAGATTTAGTCCCCAGCGATTTTTTTCCTGTTTCCAAACCCAAATAAATGGCTGGGCGTTGATAGATTTGGGTGTAGTCTTTTTTGGAACAACGCCAAATGACTCTTCACATGTATTTTTAGATCTTCTGTCACTGCTCTTAGTTTAAGAGAGAAATGTCAGTGGGAGCCCCGTGATACGTGGAACACTCTTGGCATTTGAACAAATTTGACCGCCAGATTGCTCAAATTTTGCTTCTGAAATAAATACCCATGTGGTTACGGTGTTAAGATCTCTGTGTGCAAAAATCGGGGCATTTCTAAAAGCATCGAATCCGAACATGCAATTTTTTTATAACTGGGAGAGGACATTTTAGCAAGTTTTGGCTACTTTTATTTGTAAAAAAATGTTTATTATTTTTTTTATGAAAATATAGTTTACTATCTAAAAAACATGTAAATCACAATTTCAAATTTTGTCATGGTGGAATAATAACAAGGTGTTGTCAGTAGCGACGTGTTTGTTGTAATTTTGACAAGATCGGCATGCTTATTTTCAGTGCTTCCGATCTTAATTTTTATACTACTATACGTTGGAAAATAGTATCTAAAATACTCCATTTTAGTATTTCGTTTTATAGCGATTTTTAAAGAACTTGGTGTTTTCAGAACGATATTAATATTTAAAATTGCTCCTCAAAATATAAAATATAAAAGATATCGTGGTTATCAAAGGAAAAATACGTACACAAAAATCGTATGGAAAGGCGATTTTTTTATATTAAATATCTTTTGCTGCATTGTCATAATATCGAGCCAAATGGACTACTGATACACTAGAATAGAGCGGCAGCACGGTTAGATTACGATTTCGCTTATATTATCGGTATTTATGTGTTTTAATCTATTTAAAAAATCATATACAGTCTTATAGGAAATTTCTTTATTTTACGGCCTTTACTTTTTCATAACTTACAATATATGCCCAAGCTGTGTGGAGCTAACGATACAAACATATATTCAGGCTTATAAGCTTGTAACTATACATTTTCCTACATTTAATTTGAAATAGTATGCACAAACGGATTAAAAGTAATAAATAATTAGTACCTTTTCTACTACTTTAAAATGCGTGACCGGAATAGACCTGCCGAAAAGGTGAGGTTAAGTTACTGACAACACCTTGTTATTATTACACCATGAAATTTTGTAAAACATTTACAAAAATCCGACGAATTGGTTACTCCGTACGACAATCCTAGGGGTTTTATCGTGTAGAGGGAAAATTCTGCACGACAGTTAGCGTGTCATGCTCGATGAATATACACTAGGGTGTTCGATTATTTGCCTTTTTTCCAAAACCGGTAATGTTTCAGCGCCAAACATTCATTTATTTGAACCAAATAAGATATATGTATGCACTCTGTTCATCCCCAAACACCCTAGGATATAATATTAAAACCATTTAGGGGTTTCCCTTAAACTAGAAAAAGTCATAAAACTTCGAAAAACTGAAAACCTTCATTGAGAGGTTAATATTTGTATGAAATTAAAAATACCGGTTTGTTCGTTAAAAAAAAATCCGGTTTATTCGATATTCGAAAAACTAAGATTTCGAAAAAAACCGCCTATATATATCCAAAAAACCGATGGAAACCGGGTTGGAAAACCGAGTCAATCACCCTAACATACACAGATAGTGCACTACGCCAAAAAAGTTAATGACACAAATTATCGTTGAACCATCGCATGCCTCAGCTGTATATGGCCGCTTAAAAGCGCTTGGTAAAAATAGCAAAGGCTCGACAAGTTTTTGCATAATTTATGAAGATTTTTTTTATTAAAAATGTTGACGCATACAATCGTGCTAGTTTCATTGAATTGTCATTGTATATTGTAACTCCTATGGATGAGAATGCATATATACAGCCTTGGCCATAAATGTTAGGCACTGACAAAATAACCAAAAAGGAGGCCGAACATACGTATAATAATTTTTTTCGTTTTTCAAAGTGAAGTATGGGATATTTATTAGTAAATTACTAAAGTATTAAGAACACTTTGTTTTAATTCAAAGGACTTAGATTAACTGTTATCAAAAATTGTATTTATTAGTCGTGAGTTTTCATAAACTTTTATGATATGCAGTTTTATAGCACCGTACATTTTAACATAATAAAGTGCAAGTTTGAAGTAGTTAAAAATGTTTTCTGTTGACGGTGTAGCTCATTTTCTTCCATACAAAATATGTTCGGCAATTTTTTTTATATGGAGAAAGTTCGCAGTAGCGTTTCTTCTTGGTTGTTTTTGGATGCCTAATGCTATTGGCCAAGCCTGTATATATGCATGTATAACCAATTATTAGTAAAATTTTCTTTTCGATTAATCCTACTCAGCCTTGATATTAAGTTAGTCGAATTTGGCATACGGTCGTGCAAGTTGTCGGAATGTGCGCATCCTGCTGCTGCTGGTGGTGGCAAAACTTGTGGCAATGTCCTGTATCGACGTCACATTTGCCAACTTGCAGGCGATGGCAACGCACACGTGCTTGTCGCGTTATTGTTTTGCGTACAAACTTAATTAGTAAATATGTATTTGGTTTATTTCTTAACATCATTACTAAAACGGCGTTTATATGAGTCGATTTTCCAGGCAATTTTATAGGCGATTAGTTGAATCAAAAGCTGGCTGCCCACAACTTCATTGGAAGCGATTAGTTGAAAGGCGATTCACACCAGGCGCTGGTTATTTTCAACTAAAAGTTGCCTCTAAAATCGCCTCATATAAACACCGTATTACGTTATATGTTTAATAATAATGAATAATATTACTATTTTTTTTTGCTACTTTCAGATGACCCCGCATTCAATGACGTTGTGATCCAAGCGGAAGCGGCCATTGCGGCTGGTGTTATGCCACAGCGCATTTATCAGGGCAGCAGTGGCTCGTATTTTGTGAAGAATGCGGAAGGTGTAAGTGATGTTTTTGAAAAAAGTAGCACTTAAAAGCTACTTGAAAAATAAGAAAATAAGCTTAGCGCTTTATAAGAATTGATTTCGCGCCGCGAACCATCACTTAAAACTTAAATAATTTTTCAAGAAAAATTCTATCGCCCTAGAATCATTTCGAATAACATCTATTGAACGATTTATTTTGCGTCTGGTTGTCTGCGTGGCTACCAGCTAGTTTTCGGTAGCTTCGCTGACATTTCAACTACGTCTGAACTACAGTCGCTATATCAAATGACTTCTTTACGAGGAAATTCCACGATTAAGCTCACTTTTGTGCGAATTTTTGGTAGCAAGTCAAACAGCTTACATTTTGCAGCTTTTTTATATTTCTGATATTTATATTTTTATTGTTTTGCTCAAAATGTCCTAACATATTTATATGTATATATTTTTATTTCTTAAAGAAAATCCTGGCTGTCTTCAAACCGAAAGACGAGGAACCCTATGGACGACTAAATCCAAAATGGACCAAATGGATGCATAAATTATGTTGTCCTTGCTGCTTTGGACGCGCCTGTCTGATACCGAATCAAGGGTAATTAGAATTTATAAACTTATTATAACTTTAATAATAGAATAGTAATATTTTGGCGCTTACACTTTTGCTACGTATTTGGCCAAGCTTATCCTCCAATTTGTGGTGTGCGTCCATGCGTTGGTGATGTTGTAACACAAATAAAGGGCCTACAATTTTGCGCCTCCTCCGAACGGCAAATGGTTTTTTATGAGAACATTTTTTTAAGGCAGAGAAACACTCGGAGGTTTGCCATCGCTTGCCGAGTGGCGATCGCTGTTAGAAAAACACTTTTTGTAATTATATGCTGCTAGGTCCAGGCATTGAACCAAGGTCCTACGGAGTGGTAGTACGCACCTCTAACCACCCAGTCACAGTGTAATTAAAACAGGGAAACACAGCTTGAAAAATATAAACAATCGCCAACCCTTTGTAAATTGAATTAGAAGAACACTCCAATTCAAAGGCAAACGGGAAGATTCATTTCCAAAGCAACGGAAGTCAAATAAAGCTAACAATCGTTGAAACCGTCTCAGCGCGGGTCTGGAGCAAAGTTAAGTTTCGTGAATATTTTGCGTTGATAAAAGAAGCTGAATGGGACCATTCTATGGCAAGAAGGAGAGAAGAATCGAGTACGAAAGGCTTATCGCTTCAACTAATCAAATCAAGGGCCTGGATTTTTTTTTTTAATTTCCAACCTAAATTTATTGAACTATTTATAGAGTTAGGTACCGTTTAAATAAAAAAAAATCTCATAGTGTCTTTTATCATATGAACGTATGTGCATACTTTCCTTTTGATTATTTCTAAAACAATTCGTTTCTTAATACTTTCAGCTACTTGTCGGAGGCAGGCGCAAGCTTAGTAGATCGTAAACTAAATTTAAATATTGTACCAAAGACCCGCGTTGTACGGCTAGTTGCCGAAACGTTCAACTATGCACGCATCGATCGACAAAAGGCGAAGCTAAAGCGACGCATTAAGGAGCACTACCCGTCAGCGCACTTCAATCGCATGAGTCTGCCACTTAAGGTAATGCTCACCTACTACACTACTCCAGCTTGGGCCCCATCCAAAAGCACATTTAATTTTCTTACTAATTTCCTCCTCTTAGACTGGTTCCTTTCAACTTTTCGTTGAAGGCTACAAAGATGCCGATTTTTGGTTGCGCCGCTTCGAACAAGAACCACTAAATTCAACACTTAACGAATCATTTCAGCTACAATTCGAAAGACTCGTTGTACTCGACTATATTATTCGTAATACAGATCGTGGCAATGATAATTGGCTTATACGTTATGTGCGACCTGCCGCCGATAAGTGTGCTAACACCAAAGGATTAGATGTAAAGCCATTAATTGCGCCCACCAAAGCACCGGCAGCCCCAACGACACAGCAGGAGCAGGAACAACAGACGTCGGAGAGAAATGGCGATATTGCTGCAGTTAAAAAGGCAGTGGAGCCAGCAGAGGCTAAAGATGAATTAGATACGTCTGCGCAATCCGACAAGGTGGAAGATCTAAGCGGCGAGAAAAGTGACAAGCCATCTACAAGTAGTCAGTCTGCTGATGAAACAGTGCAAGGTAAAATAGTGCTGGCTGCCATCGACAATGGCTTAGCATTTCCATTCAAACATCCTGATTCATGGCGTGCCTATCCGTATCATTGGGCGTGGTTGCCACAAGCAAAAGTGCCATTTAGTGAGAAAACAAAAAGCCATGTGCTGCCATTACTGTCCGACATGAATTATGTGGAGGAAATCTGCACTGAATTATATTACTTATTTCAGGTATGTACTTAGTGTGTGAAAAGTTTTGGCAAATAGCAGCAAATGACAATATTTTACTTGCAGCATGATAAAGGCTTCGATAGGCGCCTCTTTGAACGACAAATGTCTGTGATGCGTGGCCAAATTTTGAATTTAACGCAGGCGCTTAAAGATGGCAAATCACCGGTGCAGTTGGTGCAGATGCCAGCGGTCGTGGTTGAAAGGTATGTACATTTGTAGGCTAAAAAAAAAGTTTACAAGCAATTTCTATCAAAGAAACGTATACTTTTGTTGCACTATTGAACACTCTAATTTCATTTTCAGATCCCGTGGTCAAAATAGTCGTTTCTTTTCGTTTACGCAACGCTTTCAAAATAAAAGTCCCTTCTTTTCGTGGTGCTAACATAACAACAACCACACGCATTGCAATAGATACGGTCGTAATTATAAGAAAATGGAATGAGCTTATAAAGTGTTCAGCAAGTGGTCAGCTAAAAGCTGAAAAGCGCTTAATAAATGCGCAGATTTGTAAATCTGGAACTTTTCGTTCTCAGAATTTATGCAAATCCTATTTTTTTTTTTTGTGGTCGTGACTTTCGTCGAACGGAGTTATGCACTCACTGCGCTTTCCAACGTTAAATACAAATCCTTAATGCATACATATATGTACATATGTGGCATAGGTATGTACATACATATCGTCATTATCAATACAAGAGTCTCTTATTTTGATAATTTTGAAATGTTACAGCATAAAACAAAAACTTTTCTAAATTTTCATAAGAAATGTTAACAGCGCTGTTATAAAGATTTCCATAAATCTCATATTATTAAAGATATGGCTTTTATGTATGATAAGGAGGTTTTCCTGCGAGCCTTTTGCATAGATGATGATGATACTTAAGTGCAAAATATGTAGCGAAATTGTCAAGACAGGGCTGCGTCGCTGTCTATTGATTATTTCGATATACATATCTGCTTACCTTTTCCAATAGCTATGGAATTACATGCCCACCGCCCACATATGTAGATAATATAGATATGTCACCTTTGTTTTCTTAGTTGTAATATTGTAAATAAAAAATACTTTATACATATCGAGCCATAACCGCCAAAATAACGTAAGCGATTTTTCAAAATTTTCTTTTTGATGCATTTTTGCATCAAAAGAAAATTTTGAAAAAAATGTCGCTTACGTTATTTTGGCGGTTAGGGCTCGATATTTATAACAACGCTTTGTGTAAAGCAAAACATTTTCACATAAATTTTTGTACTATATTTTCATATTATTTGCATAACATGAATTTGAAATTGTTGTTCTTGTAGCTGAAATATGTTAAGAGTATATGCTGTATATTGTTATTTACTTATTAATTAAAGAGCAAAATATTTATGTCTATACTCATACATAATTGCATAAAGATATGTTCAGACATTCACAACTGCACTAGTTTTATATTGAAATTATGTTGCGGTCGCTATGGCATAAAGAAGTGTATTTCCTTAAAATTAATTCACTTCTAGTGAATTTCTGAACAAGTCTACTATGCTTACGCATCGCCATTCCAACAGTAATAAATAATCAAAGTAAAAAGTATATTATGCAAAATCCTATTTGATATAAGCCAAAATAAAATAATTGCTTTAAAATCGCGACTTTTTAACTGCATGTATACAACTCGTCTCGTGCCCATGTGAATAATACAAAGGAAAATTATTTAAATCATCCAAAACTCATTCATCCATATCACCAAATGCACACATGTGTATACTAAAAAAAAAGAATAACATAAATAGCAAGTATGTATATTTGTAAAGGCATTGTTTAGTGATACAATCCAATCCAAAACAATCTATTCAATGATGTAATCGAGTACACCGATACGTTTACGATGTTTAATGCTGAAGTTGAAGATAATGCAATTAGGTAGGAAAAAATAAAATAAATTGAAAGAAAAACGAACGTATGTATTTACATATTTATTATTGTGAAACCAGATTTCGATTCAAATACTTTAGTTAGTTGAGGGTATTCCCTTTAACTGGTAAAAATGTCGAAACCTCGAAAGCCTCTATACGTTTGTTGAGCTGTTCAAATTTCCCAAATAATGTTTCAAGATTTTCAGATTCAAGATGATTCACTAAATAAATTTTTAACCACATAATTAATACGTAGACGTACAACCGCGCCTATATACATGCATGCATACATCTACATGTAAACTTTTGAATACATCGGTGATTATTAGGTACATATATACTTATATACGAGTACTACTGCGTGTACACATGTATAGATATTGCAAAATGAAATTTAAAAAATAATAAAAATAATACTTATATATATCTAGTAACTGTTATACAACCTAAACCATTAGGGAATTTATGTATGTGATTTAATAATTGATTTTAATTTTGATTACTGCATGAATTGGCCATGAGATACCGTAAAAGAAATGCATGCATTGTCAATGTGTGAGTACGTGCATTTGTGCTAAGCTATAAAATAAATAAAACTATATTGAACGCAAATTGAATAGAACATGAGTTTTCATAATCATATAACCAAGGCACATATAGCAGCAAACTGTTGAAAATCCAATGAAAAGAAGATATACGTAAGTTGACTCCTGCTGGAAGTAGAGGTAAACAACGTCGACGGGAGTTATCTTGAGGGCCCCCTTATTTAATTCTAAGTGGCCTATACTTAGCATTCCATTATTCAACAGACGATTGACCGTTTCCTGCGATCTGGAGCGATGAATCCTGAGAGTTTTAGCAGGGTTAGGTTAGGTTAGGTTATCCTGGCTACCCTCATCCCCTCATCATCATTGTGATGCCATATTAGAGACTCTTAGCGCCCCTTCTCTTACCCCGGAAATTAAACCAATTTGTAGCTTTGATAAAGCGCACAAAATAGTAGACACTCAAAAGAATAGCGGAGGAGCGAGAGTCGACGAGACCTTGCCAAAGCTTGCAGTGACAAAGGTAATGCTCCATGCTTTCGAGGAGGAACCTCATCGCGGCAGCTACGACAGTAATTGTTTGGCTGCAAACCCATCCTGGCAGCGAGGGTTCCCATAAGGCAGTGCACGGTGAGAACTCCAATAACATGGCGGAGCATTGGTCGCTCAAAACGGAAGAGAGCGTGATCTATGCTTATCTAACTTAGGCCAGATGTGTCTTGCTATCCTGTACGTGGGATGCGCAGAGCAACCCGATGTAGGAGATCAAGGCTGAATCCTCCTCCCATTCACCCCTTGAGGGGATGCTTGTTTAGAAATTATTCTTTAGTCCAGTAGGCAGGACTGTGTAGTCCAGGCGCCTGAGGTCTCCTGGAAGATCTTCCAAAATTCTAGAGTGTCCAAATCTCGTATCACTCGACTTGGTCAGCGCGTTTAATCCAATAGCATTACAACTTGCCTGCAGTTTACCATATAGGTCCACAGGTAGAAAATGCCCTCGTGGTCATCATGCACGCCACCCTTTGAACTAGAGATGGGCACGGGCTGGGCTTTTGGCAGCGGCCCGGCAGGCCTCTGCGTAAGCCCGCGGGTACGGGCCGGAATATTTGCTGTCAGCACGAACTCGTGCGTGCATGGGCGTTCAGTAAAATTTCATAAAAGCACGAAAAAGCCCGTTGCTAATACTACAAATCTAGATAAGCTTTTATTTTTATACAAAAAAAATAGTATATATTAAAACTCTTTTGATAAGAGAAAAGCAAAAACAGATATATTTGGAAATAATAATAATTTTTGTTTACATATCTGTACATAAAATACCTTCCACGTTTTCTACTTTCCAGAAAATATATTATAAAAATCTTTGATGTAAAAAATTGATTCGCTTAAGTAAATATACGTACATAAACACAAAATTAAAAATATGTACATACATATGTATACATACAATAAAAGTTGACTCTTTATTTCCGGGCTGGGACGTGTCCCGTCGTACCGGACCGGGCCCCACTAAAATTCTTAACATGCGGGCTCGTGTCTTTTTTTTGAAAGTTGATTTTGCAGTCGTGCCGGGCCGGACCTGAAAATTTAGGCCCGTGCCCATCTCCACTTTGAACCTTTGTTAGTCTGTTTTTTGTTGTAAATTTGTGCACGGCCACTAGACCGTGATACCGTAAAATAGAATGGGGCGCACCACCGCTGTGTACATCCAGTTCACAATGAGAGGCGTCAAGCCCCAATTTTTCCTATTGCTGATTTGCAGGCATACAGGGCAGTTAAAGCATTCTTGGAACGATCTTCAACATTGTGCCGCCAAGTTAGCTTTCTGTCCAATACAACGCCCAGGTACCTAGGTTAGGTACCAGGTACCTAACTTCACCCGAGAAGGCCAGCGTAACACCATTCAAGGAAGGAAGTTGCATCCGGACAGTATTAATAAAAAAAAACCATGATTGTTATTTTCAGATTGACACTAAGTCCAGATTCCTTTTTCCAGGTCTCCACAACCGTAAGGCGCATTGGACCAGGTCGCATAGAGAAGTCTTAACAAACGATCGCTTATTTAATCGAACCGAATGGCTTCCACATGTCAATCGTGATTAGAAACGTTCTACATATCACAGGATCAACTTTAGCTCAGACTATACATTTTTTGCTACTGGGTATAAGAGAAAGGTGCGTTCGTGAGGAAGGAATGTGTCGTTCTGCAAACGTTTTCAAAAAATTATTTGTCTGCGACACGGTTAAGTGTTTCCGTTGCGGAATTTTTATTTCCGCTAAATTTTCAGTACTGTTATCTCCAACCATGTTGGGCAACTTTTCGACGAGTATACTTTTCGTATCTCAAATCAATCACAGTAAAAAGTAACAGAAGCAATTCTCTGAAAATATAGAATTCGAACATAATTTTTTATTTGTAATATTTTCTTAATTTCTAATAACTTTCTATCAAAAGCAGCATTTTCCATCACAGACAGCATTTCCATTATAACAGCAGCCAACTTCACAACATTAATTATGTGTGTCATTTGTCGATTGACAACGCTAGCGCTACTCCTTCACTTCGCATATTCTAAACGAGTGGAAGGGAGACAACTGGTATATGTAGTAAACAGAGTTCCGGACTTTTGGCATGAGGAAGAAAAGCAAGTCAACCCCGAAATATTGCCTTTGGACCTTTTTCCAATTGGACAAATCAATTGTCAAATTTTCCCCTTCAGTTGAACAACTTGCATTTTGATAAAATCGCGTGAAAATTGTTTTCCTAAACATACAATTTAATTAATTTTAGAACACACGCATATTGGTCGCTGCAAATTGTCAGTACATTTGCATACAACACTGGTTCACGTGTTAATCCAGCCCGACAACTAATCATTCATTGGCAGCGCCGTCAAGTCTTCAATCTTCAATACACGCAAAGGTGGAACGAAAGTGAAAATTCAAATTTATCTTTGCTGATTCTCTCGATTATGCCGGACTTTTTCGCCTGGTACGCTCGATAAAGGCAAAACTTCCGGAAAAGTGCTTGTTTTATTTTATCAAATACAAGCGTTTTTGTGCGGTATGAAAGAGTGAATCTATTGCCAGCGTGTAGCCAAAGAATTTATTGGATGAATTGTGAAGTGGTGCATTTATAATCGTTCTAAAGTGCAAAAAATCTGCTCGGCTAAAGTGGGGTCTTGCGCAAAACACCATAAAAGAAAAATAATTAATGAAAATATATTGCGTGTAGAAAAAGTAAGGGAGCTAAGCTCAGGAAAAGTGGAAAAATTCTGTGATTTTGTGAGAACTTGTCATATTTTCTGCCCGCGTCAATGCCAAAGTCATCGTCGACGCCAACACTGACGCCTACTTCCGACTGACGACGACGATAGCTTTTTTTGACGATAAATTCATACTCGCGTTCGGCTTATTGTAATCGGTGCAAACGTTTGCGTTCCCTTTTGTAAAAGGAATCAAGAGCATAGCCAAAACAAAACTCGACAACATCAAAAAGTATTAAAATAGGTGTTCATAAGGCATAAATCTGTAGTGAAGTGTGAGCAGTAGTACAAATCTAGTAATTACAACCGGAGCCATATAACAACGACAACAAAGAACGCACGAAAATGCTGATCAAAGAATAGTAAGTACCCTCACTCTGCTACCTCCGCGAAAATCAATCAAACGCTGATATCGGTGGGCTGAAGTGTTCTGGGCGATTAATGGGACACTTTTTAATGTCGCAAGAATTCATATAAGTACATACATTTGTACATATGCATATTCAACTGTATGGATGGATCCACCTAGTCATTATAGTTCTTGTGTGCAAATGCTGGGTTTTGCAGTATATCACTTTCGTATAAGCGGTCTTTTACTTATCATATAGGCCGCCTCCCAACCCGCTTCGTAAGGTATAAGCTTTTGACCATGAAAAATTTGTCAAGCTATGCAACGACGCGAGGTATCAATGACGCGCAGCCAACATTTCCATGGGGGGCGTACAATAACAATGTTCAATGTTGGTACGATTTTACAAAATAATGATTTTATGAACTTTGTGGATATTTTAGTTAGCATATTTTCAGCTTCGAAAGTTTAACCGTTAACACGTTTCTTTATACAAGATAATTGTGACAAATCGATTTTGGTCTTGCACCAGCGTTGCCGCAAGCTTAAAAAAAAAGTATCAGTTTCAAACAGAAAATGTATCAAAAAGTATCTAAAGCAAACAAACATAACTGTTATTTTTTAAATTTTTATTTGAAAAAAAATATAATAAAATTTTATAATTAAATCCATATTTATAAAAGAAAAGATTTAATACTACTTGCTTGAAGAAAAACAGAATCATTATGCTTATTTGCATAACGATAAACAAATTTATAGGGCCACTAAACCTCATAAAATCTTTGCGCAACCTGAGACTTGTACAAGTCAGTTTTGTGAAAATTACTACACATTAAAATTGCGCACAAATTATTGTATAATAACATAAAGAATGAGCAAAATATAAAAATGATTTTGATTTTAGCGCAATAACTGCAAATTATAGTACAAACAACCCCACACACCACACGAAACAGACGACGCAAGCTCGATATTGCGCAATGTTTTTGTGTGGTTTAGGGGCCGTATAACAGCGCCGTGTGCAAAGAAATTCCGAGTTGGATTTCCCATATAAAAGTTGCCAAGTCAAACTTATAAATACAAATAAAATTTTAAGATTTAAATAACAAGGAAATAATTATTTGCCTTTAAACTATTTAGTAATATTATTCATAGTTTTCAAAAATTAATTTTTCAGCCAAAAATATTAAAATGGGGCATTTGTGGACAAAAAAGTATCAAATCACAAAATTTTGAACAAAAAGTACCAAAAATGCTACAACTGTATCATAACGGCAACGCTGCCTCGCACAGAGCTGGAAGTCAGCGCGCTGCCGAAATTTCGCTGCTTGACCGCGTGCATCAGACTTGCATTGTATGATGTTGCTCAGCATAGCCGCTGTTTATTGTTGTTATGTTTTCTGAGGCCTTTTTTCACTTGCTACCGCGAATATTTCTCCTCTTGGCCGTCATAGTACAGCGGTGCTGCGGTACTTTGTCGCAGTTTTTGGCTGCGTTGACGTTGCCGCTGCAGACGTGACGTCGCTTATTAGCGGTGGTGTTGCCAACAACAGTCTTCTTATAAAATACATCAAATCGCTGGATTTCGGGTTGATATTCTTTGACGTCAGGAATTAGGTGCAATTTAGGGCCTCAAAAACTAATTTAAGTGCTCACTCGGTTTCCGAGAAAATTGCAAAAATATTTGGGTCAACCAGCGTGACGTCACATTTTTGCGAATATGTATTTCGGAAACCGAGTGTGCACCGAAATAAATTTTGGAGACCCTAAATTGCATCCAAATTGCACCTAATTCCTGAGTGCTTTTTATAATTTTTTGGAGAAGTGGGTTATTTTTTGTTGCATGGCAGATCCATAAATAGGGCTCGGATTCTTATGCACTAAAAAATCGAAAATATGCGCATATAATATGTAGCCAAAATTTAAAAATATGCGCTATAAACAAATAAAATGTGCAATTAAAAATATTTTCATATTTCCACCGTGCGCGACACATTCAGAAATATGCAAAAGCAGGTACTTTTTGCAAAATATGCACTAACGATTGCATGCCATTTTAAAGGTAATTTCATGATTCGTAAAGATAACTTAAACTTTTCAATTTTAAGATGACCAATAAAAACATGCATTTGCAATAATAAAAAATTCACAAATAAAAAAGATTGCACTTAGTGCGTTGGTAACGTATTAAGTGATAATAACAATAATCTAAAATAATATGCACACCCTTTCTACTACATATTATCAATTTAAAGTACGGAAGTATGTATGTTTTGCAGAAGTGACCATATACAACGCTTTAGAATGACGTAATTTTCTGTAAACAAAAGAATGCCGGTTTTCATTAATTGCCCCACAAAAGTTGTGTTTAATCTCGGCTAGCTAGGCTATTGGATATTAGTCACGCAAGCCATGCTGACGCGCATTAAAATGTACACTTGTGTTCAACTGATTAAGTTCAGTTACAGTTGGACCAGTTTTTACTATTTTTCCTATGTTAATTAAATTTTTATTATTTCTATAAAAGTTAGCGCATTATACAACAAGTACCATAGGTATATATCCACATTTCTAACTTTGTACAAAAATTATAAAAAAATCTGCAAACATACCAATTTGCCCAAAAAATGTCAAACTTTCTATTGAGAATTTTTAGAAAAATTGTATGAATGCAGTTTTATAGCTCATTAAATTTTATAGCATAAGGTGCAAGTTTCAAGACGCTAGTAAATCGCTTTGATTTTTAATACTTTTAATACTGACGCTATTGTGCATTTTTTTCCATATAGAGTAGTTATGCTCGAAAATTTATTTATATATTTATATGGTCTTGGACTTGGTCCGTCAGCAAAATAACAAAAATTAAAATCCAAAGCGATTTTCCACATAAAAACAGATTTTGTTCAAGCGTTATGTGGATGAAAATGCGCAACTTTTATTTACTTTTCATTCGTTTTTTTTTTTTAAATATACCTAATTCTACAGCAAAACCATACAAGTGAAAGTTTCAAACTTTGCAACATTTATAAAAATTTAGTTAATCTTGCTCAAATATTTTTATATGAAAGAAAAAGTGCAAATCCTTAAACGAAAAAACCTACG